TAACTGGTGTCAAGGTTCAAAAAGATAACCAAATTTTTGAAACCAAAGAGAGTTGATGTCATAAAGACTATAGCCAATAACAAAAATCTGAAAATTTGATACAAAAAAGGAACAAATCTGCTTTATTCATGCAATTAGCAGTGATGACTTGATTTGATTGCTACAGAGCCAAATAAAACCTTAGCTTGCATGAGCACCAAACCTGGCCTTGACACAATATTATTAAGCAGATTATGTCAATTACTAAGAATATGTTGAATTTGTGTAAAATGGTTAAATAGTATAGTTTTCAGAGCATTCAACAAAATGATAGACTCTTAACATGTTTTTGTTGTTTGTTTTTTTTTTTAGTCTCCTGACTATCTACCATCATTTATACTAAGTGTACCCTTAATTTCCAAGAACAGCTTAGAGAAAGCTTAAATTTACTTTAGGAGGACCAAACAATTGACATGTTGCAGTGAAGGACAAATGTAGTCATAAACATTTTGGCATTGTTATTGGAATCAAGACAGACTGAGACACAGAGAAATTTGGCATCTCCTTTGCAACAACAGACACTGGGCTCTCTAATAGTGTGTTTGGAATATTTTATGCTTAATATTACCTCAGTGACCTAACTACTGCACAATGAGACCATTTTACTATCTGTTTGTTACCTGTTTAGCTACAACTGCATCTTGAGGGTCGTCAGGCTCAGCTGCAGAGAGTAAAGCCTAAAGAAGACCATTGGCAAACCTCACTAAATTACATGTACCTTTGGTATACTGGTAGGTATTACTATTTTTCTGTCAAGTGAATGAAATTAGTTTTTGTCTTTTGAATGGAGTCCATTTATGTCAAAGTTTTGCTGTATAGCTTCTTATAAGTAGCCCAAGAGAACTAAGACAACAAAATGTAAATCTGAAAACACTTCTGTAAAGAAGCATTAATCAACACTAAAAGGAGTAAAAGGGCAGCAAGAGTAGATTGTATTAGCCACAAATTTTCTCAACAGGTTCCTCTGTGATTGCAGTTAAGTTACTTTCATAAATGATTCAAGACATCTCTCCAGTATCAGGTATTTCCTTTTCATTTTTCTTATTTACTACAGATTGGGAAAGAAAGGAAAAGATCAGAACACTTATGAGTGGTAAGTGACGAAACTTCCTCATATTCTTGGACTCTTTACTTTACTTTCACACATAGCAAAGTGTTTTACACTTAATCATGAACTTGTCAGAATATACACAAATTCTCTCATTAAAATTATGCAAAATAAAAATTTTGGGATTTATGCCAAAGTTGAAAACAGTAGCTACCTCACCTGTATTGATAGGAGCACAGTACGCAGTGTCATAGCCGCAGCCCTGAAAAAATATGTGAAGTCTAGCCTTAATAATTACACTGTTGCCCAAACTGTCAGCTTTGTCCCCAAAGTCAGTTATTCGGAACTTTCACTAGTCTAAACTTTATTGACTGAGGACAGTAGCCACCTCAAGGGGTGGTAAAGGTTACTTAGTAAATGACTCGTGTTGTTTCTGGATGAGAGTTTATGCCAATATAGGAGCAATTTACTTGTCTTCTATTTTTGGGAATGGCAGAAATACATTTCTGAGGTTGAAACTGCTCTTATCTGAGATCATGATGAATAGTTCTTACTCTAAAATATCTACTTGAGCAAAAAAGGGTTCAAAAGTGCACCCAAAACTTTCCAATACTTTGTTTTTTCTTCTGAGTTTGCTGGTTAGGAGCTTAAAACATAAGTTATAATTCATACCACTGATCTTTTAAGATGTCCAGGCATATCACTCCTGTAACTGAACTGATATTTGGATGCCAAATTTTTGTCACAAATTGTACCTAACAAAAATGTGAATCTCACATAAGTCCATAACATAGAGGTGGTTCTTGAAATAAAAGAGAGAACTTGGAATTATCAACTGACTTGATAACAAAAATTGGCTACTGTAAAGAGTTTCAAAGCTGACATTTTGAGCACTAGTCCTTCTGACCCTTGAAACATCAGCTTAAATTAATATACAGTGACCTACTTATGTTATCAACTCATTTGATAATACCAAATTATCTTGTTATACTCTCCCAACAATGCAGTATCACAGTTTCTAAAGAAACTTATCCCTTTATTCATTGAATAAAATAGCCTCACAAACTGTAAAAGCTCACATTGGTAAGCTCACCTTCGGTGGGTTAAAGGGATATGTTTCAGGGATGTTAATATCCAGTGTATAGGTTCCATCTGGGAAATAAAAAAATAAAATTAATGACAAAATACTTTTCTTGGTACACTAGAGATGATAAAAATGGAACAGTTTTGTGTGGACAAAAGGTAGATGAGTAAAAGCGCAAAATGTGTTGACCAATAACCTGGTGTGTGAACTTACAAAAACAGGTATATGCTCAGTGAATTATGAAACATGGAGCCCAAACAGTTAAAACCTTTGCCAATTCCTTATAGAGAGCTTGGTTCTATATTCCAGTCCTTTTCCTTTACACCAAATGCACAAGGTCTCTTTCAGTCATAAAAACACAAATTAACCCTTGAGTTCTTTAAGAACTCAAATTTGCTTTAAAAACATTCAACTGAAATAATTTAAGTCCTCTCTAAGGGTAACTTTCCAAAAAGACAGGCCACAAATGGATAACCCTAACTTCTTCACAAAGCTTCTTACTTTTCTGGCTCCATGTACATAAAAACAAGTTTGTTTAATTAAAGGTGTCAACCAGCAGTAAAGTGAAAGCTGTAAGCCATTACACAACTACACTACATTGGATCTGAAAGTTAACCAACAATGAAAATCGAACCAAACAAACCACTGATATTTCAGATTGGTAACATAGCTAGTTGCTGTAGGTTTCTTCAAAACAAACCTTTCCCGGAAGACACACTAATCTACTTTACTAATCACAACTTTACGAAATTTGCGAGGTTACCAATGCAACTGCAGTAAACACATTTTAGTAAGCTAATCGAGATTCAAAAAATAAAAACTTCACTCGTATTCTGAAGAGAAATTTTGAAAATCCAAAGTGTTCGTTATTTGTAAATGCACACGGGCATGTCCGCACTGTAACAATCATACCTTCAAAAGGAGTGCCTGGAGGTCCAGCTATTTCGCCTCGCAGCCTCGTGTAAGAGTTGTCTACCAGTTCAACTTTGCACTTCAACTGTTACTCAGAGATATACGTCAAGATTTTATTTAGTTAAAAGCAGTCACGTGTAAAGAGAGTCGAACGATTTACACAGAAATTTCGCAGGTACAGAGGAGCAGTGCAAAACCATTACGAAAGAAACAAACTAGGCACAAACCTCTTCGCTTTTGATGACCTCTTTGAATTCCCTCTGAACTCTCTTTATAGCAATATTAGCCATTCTAAATTTTTTTTACAATATTTGAACAAAAAAGGGTCGAAAAACAGTTTAGTTCACGCACGGGTCCACATTCTTGTCCCCGACTTCTTCTTTACAAATCAAGGCTTTTACAGGAAGTCACAGGGAAGGTATACGCGCGCGCGGTGACATGGGTAGAAAGACCAGTCCCGCGCGGTTGTTCTCTCGGTTGTTCTCCCTGTTTTTCTTGAGTACCAGTCGCTGTTAACGTTTGTGGGAGGTCGGAAGATTTTCTTTTGGAGGGAAGGGTCATATGGTTTTCAGAGGGAAATGAAGGGGGTTCAGTAGTCGCCAAAAGACAGCGACTATGGAAAATTGATTGGTGATTAACTGTCAATGACGAGGGGATCACAATCACTATCGCGATTATGCATGGCAACTACTCTGCCACTTCTTGCGTCTGTGGCAACTTTTTGCGGTTCTAGCAACTTCGAGCAATTTTTGAGCGAAACATAGGTTTAGAGCACGTATCAAGCGTAAAAAATTCAATGATTTTCAATGAAAAACTGACACATAACCTGTCAGTTGACAACGTTTTGCGGGCCTTCTGCGATCTTTATATAATATCATACCGGATAATTGCTTAAAAGGGCGTTCGGTAGTACGTTAAATGAACCATGCGTTCTGTTTCATATTAGACTTAAGTATCCTTGAATTTCGTCAGTCTTTCCGAGAAACTCTTTAAAGCTAAGTTTCAAACTATTTTTCTTGACCGATGTCAGCAATTCAGTTAGTATTGTCACGAGCGTGGGACAAAGAGAAAATTCTGGCTGCCCATGAGGAATCGAACCTACCACTGAGCCTCTATGGTGACCAAGGCTTATTACGAAGTTCATATATGATACGTATCCTGCATACTGCTAGGATCAGCAATGTCGTTAGTGTCATGTTTTTGTTAATAGAAAGATGGTAAGTTTTCAACTCGACAAAGAAATAAAGAAAGATGTTTTTTCGTCTTGTCACGAGCGTGTGAGAAGGAAAAAAATTTTGAGTCCCCATGAGGAATCGAACCTCAGACCGTAATTCGGATTCCGCGTTCCGCTTACCAATTTCTTATCCTTTTTACAATAATAACAAAGTAGGTAATGTAGTTGGTTAAGACAGCTGATAATTTTCAAGCTCCCTGCTAGTGCTTGTTGCAAAGCAAATGTTTAGCTTTCTAAAAATTTTGTATATAAGCATTTTCCGATCAAAACGCGTGTAGCATCTTAATGCTTCGGAGAAATAACATTTCTTGCGTGAATTAAAATTTGACTAGATATTGAGCGCTACTTAAAGAGTAAAATAGCTAACAGTTTATGTGATTTTCAGTTCATCGGGATTTCAATAAATGGAAATACATTTGAAATTCAGCACTGTTTTTACTCAAACATCATTTCCTTTGTGTGTGAACCGATACAAATGAGACTCTTCTAAAGAAGTTCATAAACAATATTTATTTGCAGTCAGCCTGTGGCCAAGAGTGTCACTTCTGACTTAAATCATGCTACTCAGGAGAAGTCCACAAGGCATAACCTAAGAGACTGCGCAAGCCTGCCCTTCCTCTCCCTTGGCTATACCAGGCACTACGAGGAGGGGTGGCAAGGGCACTACCACTCGTCCCCACCGATTAAAACGCTGACTACCTTCGCTGCGCATGTGCCAAGTGGTCCTAAGCACTATTATTAGCGTTTATGGCATCATAGCCTCGTGTAATCCTTGTATGCAGCCAACACAGAATTCTGGGATAGGATTTCGAAGAAGGCAGTGTGAGTTAATATGACATTAAGTGCTTGCTATAACATTGCTAAAACGTTCCTCAACTTGTCATTGATTTTGCATCCTTCGAGTTTCCAGCGCAAGGCGCAGAAGTCAGTCTCTTCTAAAACCATACGTCTCTCAGTTTGATCTTGCTGCATGGCTAAGCTATAGCAGTAGTACAAATACCGCTCAGAGAACGCTGCCACAGCCGTGAACACATCCAGGTCAAATGCACGCATGGATTTCTCGATATCCAATAGTTCGAGAATAGCATTTACTTGTGCGACGTTGATGGACTGGGCGTAAAGATCTCGGAGGGCGCTTTGGAGTTCTCTCTTGTTAATAACGCCGTCCCTATCTCGGTCAATTTTAATGAAATAATGTCGATAAAGAGTCTTGCGGCGACTGTTAACACGGCAAAACTGAGATACGTATTGCAAAGGAGACAGCTGCTCAAGAACAAGCATGTCCATTGGAAGCTCAAAGCGACAACTTTGCCGTGATATAGAGTGGGGGCCTTGTAACCAAGCTTTACTACTGTCCGACTTGACCCGTTTACTTTCTTCTTCCTCAAGACCTCCCATGATCTTAAGCGCTTCCACCGACGGAGTGCAGGATCCTGTCCCACTCTGTGAAGAAGAAGATAGGGTTCGGGAGAAGATTTGATCACCCATAGTTGCAACCTTCGGGAATAAAATCAAACTAAACTGGAAACGCTTGCTTAATTTTGTGATCTGGTAGATTCCTCTGACAATGTTTCCCTTGTGAGAAGCCACGGGCAATAAAATATAAAGTAAACCGACGTGTACACTCTGAAAGATGAAATTCAGGCTACTTCGCAGATGAACTTATAGCTTTGTCGTCAAACACGCAACTCTCAATATCCTGTCATAGAACAACAAAAATATTCCGGTTACAGAGAGTAAAGTTTCTTGCCCTCTTTGACTTGGAATAAATGTTGTTTGCTCTGGGAAAACATTTCTTCTTGTGTTGCATAAGGAGCACTTGTAAATAACAAGTTGATCTTGTAAAGTTTCCTGTTGCTAATTGTGGATAATGGTGGTTACGCTCTCACATTTGACTTGCACATTTTATTTCTGACAGTGTACACATCTGCTGTATTGTATTTACATTTCTCAATATTTAAAAGCCTCCTGGTTTGCGTTTTTTTGTAACCAATACTGCATGTACTTTGCTATTGTGCTCAAATATATATCGCCAGACCAGTTTTACAGAATCGGTCATAACAAAGCTTGGATAAAGGTCAAAAACAAAGTTAAAGGAGGAAATGAGCGGAGACGAAAACAATTATTAAGATTTACGGACATGAACTAAAACTTCAATGAATCTGAATTGCAAATTAACGACCAAGTTTTTCAGATTTCAATATTTATTTTTATGTTCCGCTGCCAATCAATTTAAAACTGAACAACGTATAAGTTGTCTAGGAAACATTACTATTTTCTAAACGACGATTAAAATGACAAAGGGAACACTCTTAACGATAGTTTTCTTTCCTGCTTTTCTCTAGATACAATACGGTCTTATAGCGTCTGTTCATTATGTTAACAATGATTTTTACTGCCTAGACGATAGGATCATCTCTGGCTCCAACCACACAAATGTATTTTATTTGAAAACGCATTTCTTCTGATTCATTGTCGCTTATTGTTCACATGAAATTGTCAATGAGAACGGAGCGTTCTAAAAAGGTCTTAAAACTGGCATAACGATATTTCATCGTTTAAGTTGGCACTAAAACAGATACTTTTTTACCCGCTGTACTTATGTGAGCAAGGCCCTACAGGGGTCCTCACAGCATATTATCTGACACTGTCTGCCAGTCCGAAAAAAGAAATAAAAGTTACATACTACAATATTTTATTCACAGCTTTCGAGCTTAATTTATTTTTAATTTTTGTTCTCTTTCTAACAGTTAATCTATAAATAAACTGACAATACGATTTAAATCATCTACTTGATTGACTGAAATATAGCTCCTGTGAAATTAAGTTCTATTTTTTCAAAACGCTTTAGGAAGCCAACGCGGTAGAGCTAAGCGGCTAACTGTGTGAAAAGGAATTGTGATTGTGTGTGTGTGAAAATATATGGCGTTTTCCAAACCCTGAATGATCCTGATCGAGAGCTGCTTAATTGATGAAGGTCTGGAACTGAGATTAGACTTAATCCTGCTGGTGTATTGCACCAGTTGTAAAAGTTGCGGTGATAGGCTCATTTAAGCGTATGTAATCTTTTTGGAACTTCAGGAAGTGGAAATCCAGACTATCTGAGGTCTTAATATTACAAAGTTTTCTGTCCGATTTTTGACAAGCGAAAAAAAGTTAATTTAGTCCCTATTATTTTTTAATTAAATGATTTCTTAACTCGAACTTGGAGTTACAGAGAAGGAAAATATAGAGAATAACAACACCTTTCTCTTCCGATGAGTTCATTCACTCATTTCAAGCTCTGCTGCGATACTACTTAATTTAGCATGCTCTTTTTAGCAAATAAAACAAAACAGTTGAACTGTTCTCACTGCTTTTTGCTTATGGTGAAAAACAAACAAACAAAAAAAAATTGAGACAAACTCGGGGTCGTTAGACTAAGATTTTAAATTGCAAATGCTTAATGTACGGTTCTCAAGAAGACTTGCTATTTTACCAAAAAAATCGATTTTTTTTCCTTATCTCAGGTTAGTGATTTTTCAAACCCTCAAAGAGTTTCGGTCTAAAGTCTTTCATTCTCTGCAAGCCGACAGCTGACGGAAATCTTCGTTTTCTCGGTTTTCGGTCCAGCAATACAAAGCGAGTGCTCCGCCGGTTACTTCTACCATTTTGATTTCCTCTGACTTTCTTGGTGGTGCCGCCATGTTTCAACGCGATGAAAAAGTCGCCATTCTTGAAAGTAAAAAACTCCTTCTCTAACTGTACTCTGAAAATGGATCTGATCTGGTCTGGATGAATCTAGGAAAAAATATTGGACACCCAGTAAGCGTTTCACTCATAGCAACTTAGATGTAAGTAGTCGCATAAAGAAAAATTGTTTAGTGGGTAGTACTTTGGTAACTATATCTGATTGCATAGTAGGAAAACCATCACCAGATTAGTTAGTAGACAGTAGTTCCGAATTGAATCACTCCCGAATCTGGAAAGAAAATGATATTTCTCATCAGAAATTCTCACCTGGCTGACGAGGGTTCCATTTATCCCCATAGCGAGATATCTTTCAGTGGCCACGCCTTTTATCCGCACACTGCAGTTGTCGACAACTTCCATCGCCAGTTTTGCTGTAAAATGAGACAAACCAAACGGATAAGCATATTGATCAGTTTGAGGATCAGTTTGAAGCTTAAAAGATACAATCATGACTTAAAAGGCTACTGAAAATAAAGTTGCAATGTATTTTAAGAATAATGTTGGAAATTGCTAAATTGACCAACACTGCTGTAGAAATTGCACACGTTTAGCGAATTGCATTCATGATGTCCAAGCTGTGAGGTACAGCGGATTAAACCAATGAAAAACCAAAGCAATATCGAATCAAGATAACTAAACTTGGACTTCAGCATAAAATCCAATATATTTACTAAATATATCTTGAGATCTCAGAAATTGACGCAATAGAGAAATGTGATCCACCTCTCGACTTTTGTCTGGTGACAATAAGTTACTTATATGGTTTAGAATGTTGAATTACTTCTCCAAAACTTTCGTCTACTCTCAAACGCGAGAAATTTTAGACGAGAGGGTTAATTTTCGAGAAAAAGACTTCAATTCCACGCGAGTGTTAAGAGTAAAACAAAAAATAGTGCATATTCGTCAGCGTCTGAAAATTTCTAATTCGTACGTTCATTCTCCAGAAATTAATTAAAAAAGTTATCTCACTTGGAAAAAAAAATTTCCGGTGCCCAAGTTAGAGCCGCAAAACTGCAGACGATAATTGACAGGTGTAGCTTTGCGTTAAGTTCATTCTTGATCTGTCACTTGTAAGGCGGCCGCTACTCCTCTTTAATTCAAACAGGATATTCGTAGCGGCGGTCAGTTTTAGAAATTAATGATGAAATGCGTTCCGTAAAAGCGTTCTTTTCATAGGTGCACTCATAAAAATGATGACAAAGAAACTTATCCATGGCTCAGTACTGGGCGGGAGAACATACGAAGGCTAAGGAAAAACTACCTGCTTCCGAATTACATCGTAATAATAATAAAATAACCCTTATGTAATTGACTTCGCAACTGTTATGTTAAATCTGAGTCCGTCGGTGTCCAAATTTGCTGCATACGTTGGATTTGCGTCACTGAGCAGAATAACATCATAACACATTCAAATTGTTTACTTGTAACAAGACATTAACAAACGGGAAAACAAAGCCGACAGAGAGTTTGATATTGTAGATTAAACATTTGACGGAAAGCCGACAAATATCTGTTTGTTTTCACGGTTTGCGGTTTTCTGATTACTAACTAGATGCGTACCAAAATTACACTCAGCTAGGAAACGCGTGAGAAAATGATTCGCAAATGCATGATTTTTAATTGAACCTAACAGTATACACTCGAGCTGCGAAGTACAGCCACGGAAAATGGATATGAGGTAAATGAACTTCCCTTGGGGTAGTGTTTCTTGAAGTCACTCTGGGTGAGATGACTACATGCTGAGCTTCATGCTGGGATATCTGCGTAAGAGCTCACCTCCCCAGCCAAGTTCTAAAGGAATACACCCTGTGACTTTGGTAAACACACCAGAACACTAAAACACTCTCTTGCCGAGTGCAAGCCAAGGAGAACTAAAACTTACAAAACATTTGTAATAACCGTACTTAAGTGATTATGATTAATCTAAATGCAAAGGTATGTAAGCTTGAAATCTGCATTAAAACGTTTACTAAACACGAAGATTTCATTGTTGGACTTTCCGTATGTCGGAAGTCGTAGCTCGTGCATACTTTCTTTGCTTTGCGTGCAATTGCTATTTGATTTAGCCGACAGCTTGCTGATCCCGAGTTAAAGTAAATGAACCAAGGTCATGTCAGATGGATCAAATCGAAAATTTGAATAAGATAAGAAGCTTACTGTGTTCATGAACACTCAGAGTTCCGTTAATGGTGCCGTCCGGTAAAATCTGCAGAAACATCATGGCGCGGACAGACCACAAGGAGCGTGGCAGGGCCCAGCCGGGGGGAAGAATCGGAAAAATCGGTTGTTTACACAGTGCATGGTCGACTTGAGGAGTCTTCGGTATGGATTTTTTCGGTTGAGATCTTGTGGTTGTGACTTCATTGACATTTTTTCTTGCAATGTGTTGATTTGCGGATTGCAGTGAAGCATTTGACAGAATCAAAATGACCAGGATGACGGTGCGTCGCACCACATTCGATAGAGACATGTTTCCAGAGAGAAAGTACTGCTGCAAATAAAATGCCTTTATGAAATCAACCCCAGTTTTATGCAGGATTCAAAGGCGTCCCAATATCAGTGGAATGCAGCATTCTCACTAACAGCTGGATCAGTGAATTGAAGAATCAATGATATTAGCCTCGAAGAATTCAGTGGGAAATTTGAGAAAAATTGATGAACAAAATCAAAGCGAGAGAACCAAAACTGGTCAGGAAATAATCATACCTGAAGTAAACAAAGTGAGAGACTTCAAAAGCGTAGCGACAATTTTTCAGCAGCAACTGTTCACTGCTTAGGCTGGACAGAGTACGTGTCAAACTTCCTTAGCAGGAACATGTAAATCGCATTTACAGTCACTTATAAGTGTAGAGTTTTCAAAAGTCACTTGACAGTTCGACGTGCGAATTGATCTTCCTATCACGTTGTTTTGACAGTAATTTCTAAGTAGGATCTGCGGTTCTTTTAAGAGGTCCCCTACAGAACTTTGGTTCGTGCAAGACCTTCCGAGTCTGATACAACTGAACTTCTAGAGCCTCTTAAATTCTTCTTACAGAGAAAGCCAAAAAAATTGGAATGAAAACCACAGCGGGCGCTGTTTCCGTTTAGAAAACAATGGTTCCGTTCTTTTGTTGTGTGTCAATGAGATTGGCTTGTTCTTTGTAGCGTGTTGTGGAGAGGTTCGTATTAATTATGGCACTCTTTTCACACTGTTTCACGCCATGAACATGCAATTGACACCTACGAAAACGCTTTCAGCTTTTTAATGACTCGTTGCTGGACAAGTCGCAATCAAAAATCAGTGAAAAGGCGGGAACCGTCTTGATAACGACTTCAAAACAGGAAATTCTAACAACAATCACGAGAAAGAAATTTCGAGGGAAAAGAAAGATAACGAGTTAGTGTGACAAAAGAACTATCAGGGGGGCGGAGAAGTGAAATGTAGGGGCGCACGTTTCTTAGTTTTGTTAGAACAGGACTAGTCGCCATTCACGCGCGATGAATGATTTTACGCGCTAGAAGGCTTAGAAATCAGTGGCAATTGTTATCAACGGACCCTCAAACGCTCTGATTGGAAGGCGATAACGCTGAAGTCTTACAAGCGTCTCTTAAAGCAAAGTACATCAGCAAAACGCCAATAATTTTGTCCAAAAGTTATTTAAACTATGTTAACGCGTGATGTGTTAAAACGCTAACAAAGGAACGATTATGAATGGCTTCGTTTTCAACTTGAAGACTTTGCCTAAAGAGATTTATTTAATCAAAGGGCGGAGAGCACTCGGTAGCTAATTGAACTGATTCATTCACACTTTCCACAAAAACTGTAATGAACGAGCCATTGTTTACAGTAGCCCATGCATAACAAGAAATTACTCTAGTAAATTTCCTGTCACAAACTATACATATTTTGATGTGAGCATCTCAACTACACTTCCTATTCCTAAAGTAAATTAGCCTTCTTGAGGAGGCCTCTTGCAACGCTTCCTGCCTTTGAAAAGTGATCTGATATCACAGAAAGGATTATGGATGACATTCACGCACAAAATTAGGCAATTCAATAACAAGATATAATTCGACCGCTCTAGACTAGGGAGGAGACGATCGCAGTTCAACAACTCTTTGCACAAACAGGTCCGATCTGTTCTTACCGCTCTTCCCGTTCAATATGAAAGTATCTTTTGGCAGACCCACACAAGCCCTTTTCGTCTGCGTCCTTTTTTTGGTATAATTTAAAGAAAAATGACTATAAAAAGACAAATTTTACAGGCCGTTCCGCTTTCATTAAAGGCACGGGAAGTTCAAGGTTTTTCGAAAGGCAAGGCTGGACTGTTAAAATAAAACTCACTTGTTATGACTTTAAAAAAATACAGTGTCTGTAGACTCTTGACACTTACGGTGCGTTTGTTTAACGAACTTCCAGGCAGTTTCATGAGTTGCAGCTTTTAACTATCATTGTAGACGTCAAAATGAACGAACATTCGTCACCGTCAATTTAAAGTAGCGCACAATATGAAAAACACGTCTGGATAACTTTGGTCTAAAACCTATTCCTTGAAATACACTATATCAGTAAACGAATGGAAAACAACAGGTCATTGCTACATAAGATTTACACCAACTAAGCCAAATATTATCCATATGAATTAAAAATGAAATACGTAGACATTATCCCTCCCTCATAAGCTGTTAGAACATCAAAGGTTGTGTTCAAGCTAACACTTACGTTGTCTACCTGAGCTAGTATTTTGATTATCCACCGGGTTAAAACCGAATCCCGACGGGGAATGTTGTCACGACTATTCTGCCTCCTTTGTCTTTTAATTATAAACCGGAATGAATCCCCTAGATATTTCCAACACATTTTTCCTTTTTTCAGTTTTGGTATTGAATCGATGAAATTTTAAAGATACCCCGTTTAAGTCTCTATTTCAGAATGAATTGATAGTAAAGTAACATAAACATTTTTTACAATCGCAAACCTACTACAGGTTGTACCCGGATAGTTATCGCAATGACGTCATATCATAGACTACAACTGTGTAATCATTAAAGACGAAGAATAACAACCACCGAAAAAATGGTAAACAAAGGAAAGGGTAGCGAATTTTGGATAATGAAAAACTCTGAGTTTCCTGAAACATGGCAATCCGGAAAGCCATTAAATTCTACCACGCCTACGCGTTTTCAGCCCACACGAGTTTATGACGGTTTCGTAGCTTTCGATTGAACGGAAATAAAAAGTAATGTCGAGTTAAACAGAAACTTCTTCACCAAGCAAATTCATAAAGATTGGCCGGTAACAAAGGGAAATTTTTCTCTTTAAACGACCAAGCACATCTGTTTTTTATACTCAAGTCATTAAAGAATCACATTTCACAAAGTTTCATGTTCTTAGTGCAAATTTCAAGTTAGAATGAACACTCTGCACAGATATTGATAAGACATTGTGGCGCATAAACTGCAAAGAACACCGAGGGATCGTAAGAGGTCACTTCACAAAAAATTTTGACATAAATTTTGTCGATTCATCCACCTTTTGAGACACATACTTCAAAGAACACGTGACAATGAACTTTCTAGTTACCCGCGAGGCAATATGAAACACAAGTCACGTAACACAGAAGGCGGCTTTCCCTTGCACGAGTTACCTCTCGCTTAGCACAAATCAGAACGCTTACTTTTTATTCATAAGAGAGACTCATGAAAATATAATTTATTACACACGAACACTACATTATTTTGCTTTTTTATATATATTGCACATAGACCAAGTATCTGTGTGATTGTTGAAATTACAGATATTTAAAATTGACAAATTCCATCTTCATTTTCTATCTTCTATCTTTCATTCCTAAGAAAAGAATTCTCGAGCGAATAAAAGAGGATAACCTGAACTTAGTCCCTTGCCTGCAAGGTTCTTACATGAAGCTTTTAAGTATAGTTACGTCCAGTCGTGTCAGCTCGGTAAAAAACTTGGCAGCTACAGGAAAACTTTAACAAGACCAGGGTGTGGTTCGGTAAACCTTTAAAGGTAGAAAGAAACATCAGTTAAGGTTAAATCAAGCTCTATGTAGCATTAAAGCAGTCCCCCCCCCCCCCTCACATCCTGTTTTGAACCTTATTGGGAAAAAAAAGGAAACATTCTTACAACAACTTAGTTCCCACCCCTTCCCTTGCATGTCTTGTTCAGAAGAAAATTGAAGACCAAGCTACCAAGGCACAACTACGGGCTTTAAACCAAGTCTTCCTACCTGTAGTTGTGTTTTTTGAGATACTCAATGATGGCAGGTTTTATTCGGGCTTTACCACCGCGACTGTGATTTCCTCTTCCTGTTACAACATTGAGGAACTTGCAACCTTTCCTGGCCAGACTACTACAAGAGTCTAAAGAAAAAGGCAAAAATGTCTTTGTCTCTCGGTAGACGGCTTGAGTCACTATACAACTACAAAAACGAACATTATCATCAGTTGATCTATTTTAACGCTTTTTTGTGCGTCAGAAGATTTCGATAGCAAACCGAACTTCCACCTGGCTTTCTTGAAATACGATCATATTATCGAACATTATAAGAATATATTCTTTTAGGCGGATATATAACCAGTGTCAAAGCAACCACTATAACAGTGCCGCCTAAACAAAATGACCATGTCATTAAATGTAAGAGGCATAGTAAGTTTTCTTGGCACTGAATCAACTTCACATTTCCTTTGAAAACGTACCAATCCGTTCGCTCAACATGTTTTCAAGAGCTTCAATGGCCTCTGTAACGTGCAAACCATGTAAATCAATGGTGTTATCGTCCGTCAACTCATTCCTGAAGTAAAAAAGAAAGGCAAAATGTACCACATTATGTGATATGCCGACCAAATATGCCTTCTGAGAATCTTGCCAAAATATTTGTTCTTCATCCAACCCTAGCTTCCCAAAAAAGAGTCACAAGAAGTCATTTTTTTAAAGAACAATAAAAAAAAAACGAGGGTGGGCTTCCTGTCAGATATGATTATACTAAGACACGTCTAAGATTACGCACAATTGCTCTCTTTTTTTCTCTGATCCGCTGCGCTGACATCCTTCCGATGTCTATGATGGCAATATGACAGTGGAGGAGCAAACAACACCAAATTTCTCAGTAGCATGTGAATATAAGAAATATGCCGGTGTGTTTAACATGTTTATCTTACTTTTGATCCAGAATTAATGCCGCTGCACGTGCATTGGCTTCTTTTATTTTCTCGGTGTGCAAGTGACCCTGCAATGATAGAGAGAAAGAAAAAAGAGCAAACAAAATTATATATTAGCCGTGTTTATGGGCGATCGTGTTTTCCTCTCAAAGACCCAGAAATTGATTATAAGTAATATTTACTTAGCTGTGGAACTAACAGATTTTTTTCACAATGTGGCAGTTTGTTGAGTTTTGATTGCTACCAAACTTTGAGTTCGATGTTTTTGATGATATCCTAAGTGTAACTGTGGTAGAAGGGGAAGAGCACGTGCGTCTTTTAAGGTGTTTTTTGGAGGCTGTTTCGCCAGTCAAAGGAAAACGTATGGCTGCTAAGGACCCCGCCAAAAGAGTAACACGAAATTCATTTAAGTTCTAAATAGGCATCAACTGAACATATCAATTTATGATGGAGATATAATCTTATTTGTTATTTTTAGTTGGTGGTGACACTATAGCTTTCTTTGTGTTTTGGTTGTTGTGGTTGTTTTGGCGGCATCCGCACATACCTGCTGGGCATAAAACTGTGCCAGCTGCCCTTGTTTCTTGGAGAAGGCCAGTGCAGCTTTCTTAAAACACTCATCCCTTAAATTGTAATGTTGAAATGCTTCAGCGCGGTAATCCAGGTAGCTTGGATCCTCAAGAGTCTGGAAGGAGGATACGTCCGAGTTTGGCCGAGAAGGCACTGAAAACACAAATATCCGCACAAACGTGAAAAAGGCGAAATTCTGACGCAACTAAAATTTGATACGTTCAAAAGTCTTGCACATCGGTTCACAGAATTTTATACTAGTAGGGTGCTTGTTTGTATAGTAAATTCAAAGCAACTCTATAACATCGGAACC